TTTTTGCAGATGGAAACCACTTCTGTTGGAAAAGGTTCTGTCAGATCTGACCGTCTGTTTTATCGGCACATTTAGCTACTTTCTTTTCAACGTTTAAAACGCCACAAACTAAACTGACGTGGCTCAGAACGTACCCATACTCTGTGGGGTATGAAAACAAGCAGGCGTCTTCGTGTTCAGCTCCATCTGCTTCGTACCCACTTTGGCTCACTTCTAACATGCCTCGGCCCACTTTGTACCAACGTCAGCCCACTTTCTACATGTCTAAACCTGCTTCCAACCCACCTCCACCCGCTTTGTACCCACTTTAGCCCACTTTCATCATGCCTCGGCCCACTTCGTACCCACTTTAGCCCACTTTCATCATGCCTCGGCCCACTTCGTACCCACTTTAGCCCACTTTCATCATGCCTCGGCCCACTTCGTACCAATGATGGTCTACTTCCTACCTGCTACAACTTGCTTCCTACCACTCTGCCCACTGTGTACCTGCCTAGATTTGCTTTTTATCCACTTCAAGACAGTTTACACAGTTTGTGCTTGCTTTGGCCCATTTTGTTCCTGTTTGCCCACTTTGTACCTTTTGCACCAGCCTCATTCCACTTCCTACCCACCTCCGCTTAATTCAAAACCATCCTCATCTTATCTGTACCCACCTCAACTCATTTCAGACAGACTTTTACACAGTTTGTATCCATTCAGCGTACTCTGGACTCAACTTTGACCATTTGGTACTCATGCTGGCCCACTTTGTACCCACCTCAACCTACTTTGTCCACATAAGGTCACTTTATTCTTGCTTCAACCCACTTTGTGCTCAAATTAATTCACTTCTTTCGCATCTCAGCCAACTTTGTGCCCACTTTAGTCGCTGCAGCCACTTATAAAACGCTGCACTTATTAAACCTTATTTCAAACCTGCGTCGGGTCGTCCCGTATCCAAACCGTGCCTGGCTGCTCAGCGTGGTGGTTGTATTCAGCTAGAATTCACACCTACAGTTCCTACACTACACACCGTCAGTTTCAACAGCAGGGCATGGTAAACGCGTTAGTTTGGACAAGCCAACTTGAACCGGTACGGACCAAACTTATTTCAAAACACTGTTTTATTTATTTTATTTTTAAGTTAGGTCGTGTAGAAGCTTTGGTTCTCAGACTGAAACCACTGGTGGTACATGAGCTCCCTCTAGTTTGAAAATAAATGTTTTTATCTAATTTAGAAGTTTGGTGAACTCCTCAGAGCTGCGTGGCTCAAACAGAAATCAGGACTGTGCTGGCCCAAGACGGACCTGGAGGGACCTCACCAGTCCCGGTCTTACAGCTGACACCATGCAGCTGATGTAGGCTTAAAAGGTTTTGACTGTTTTTTTTTTAACTTTCTATATAAACCTTTCTTAAGGTGGCGAGTTAAAAAGACAGTGATCGATTATCTTCAGTAAAAGTTAGAGGTTTTTTGCACATGCTTACATTTTACATTGTTGGTGGCAGCTGGACGGTGTCTTTTAATGTGTTTAAGTGCAGTGTGTGTGTATATATACATATATATATATATATATATATATATATA